GAAATAAAGCCCATTTCAAAATTTGCGAGTAACTGTGGTATGTTCCCCTATGCCACAGCCCACATGACTCGAGAATTTTCAAAAATATTAATGGGTGCATATATTTTTGAAGAATTCGACACCGATGGAACAACAGTTCTTGATGAGTCCATCCAACATAAAGCCTATATTTCACTCCAAGACTTCAATAAAATCACTAAAACACACAAAAATATTACAATCTAAATATGCTTCTGCTAGTTATATGACCAAAGAACATAGAAAAATATAGCTAACTCATGGTCGATTTTACGCTAGCATTTCTTTTGCAATTTCTCTTTCTTGAGAGCCAAGAATGTAGCTTCTATTTCGTCGTAGTTTGGTAGCTTAGGATGGACATGTCTATTTTCGTATGATCCATTTTCAGGCTCTTGAACCGGGAAGGAACTTGATCGAAGAAAGTTGTCTACGAGGCAATCTTTAGGCCTTTCAATAGGCAGAGTCATTGCTCTCAAATAAGGGGCCTGATTTTCGTCTCTTGCCCTTTGATATGTCATTCTTGACGTTGAATACATTGTCGAATCACATGTTTCTTGGCTCTTCAATACCTCCTCAGTATCGCGATTTACAGAATGTTCGTTCATTGATTCAACATTTTGATCTTGGTTGATGTAGTCCTTTGTGGTTTTGACTCTCCTCCTTGGAACGCGAAGAGGAGATTCCACGTTGCCTTTCTTATCAGTGATCCAGTAATAACATGGATGTTCCAAACTGCAATGATTCTCCATTGTCTCGTTGCATCTGGAATGATCGTCGATGCACTTGACAAAAGTCATTGTGCTTCTGAATTTGACATAGCAAGGTTGATCTTTTGTATCATGTGCAAATGTACGATAAGATCTCTGACTTTCCGAAACAGAACTCTTTCTTGTACTCCTTCGTCTGTTTTGGCGTTTTGGTTTGCTATCTGGAGAACTCTCGGGTAAGTCTCCGTAGTAGATTGTACTATCAATGTCCGACACAGTAGAACCTGATTTCCTTCTCGTTCTTTTTCCAGATATCGTTCTGTTCTTCCTCGAGGTTTTTGATCCTTCTTTTGGATTCTGTGAGTCAAATTTCTTTTCAATGCCTTTAAATTTGCTACGAGTATCTATCTTTAGTCGCGAAGGAACAAAAGGGGCTTTGAACATGAATAGCCTTTGATCCTCGAAGTCCATATCTTTCTTCACAGCAGACTCAAACTCCTGAATGTCATCCAAATATATCAATTGTTCAGGTAATTCAGCTAAATCTTCTTCTGTAGTTGATTCAGCAGCTCTTTTCTCAACATTTTGCTCCAAAATAAAGGCATTAAGATTCCTCTTTTCCATTCCTGTGAACTCGTTACGATTATCCTTCAAAGAGTTCACTGAATCCTTACGAGACTTAGTTGTTGGGTAACATGTTGAATTTGCTGTAGGAAGTAGTTGTTGATGAGAATCGGATGGATCATCGATTAGGGGATCAGCTGCAGCACTACTGGTTCCATTTACCTGCAGTTTCTTGGCATTAGGAATCATGTTATGCTAATAAGATTGAAACAGGACAAACATGTTCTGTCATTAAACAGTAAAATCCATACTTAATTCTACTTAACGCACGGGCAATATCTGTCACTAAACAATCAACATCTATCCCTAATTCTACTCAATAAGAAGCACTTTCGAACAAGTAAGGAACGAGTGTTCCACTTAAGCACTTGACACGCAGTTAGCTTAAAACATGTTCATCATGTAGTCGAGCAAAGCACAACTCTACGAAGCAACTTAGCATCACTTAAGATAGGAGCAGAACGAGTAAGTTTTCTGAAATCAATATAACAGTTTCTGTCACTAAACAGTAGAACTCTGTCTGAATTTCTATTTAACAACGGATGACATCAGATCATCGGAATAGCTTGTTGTACTTACCAGCTCATCTGGTGGTTCGCGTCTATATTCAATAAGCAAAGGTCCTTGTTGATAGCAACTCCTTGCAATTTCATCAACCAATCTGTACTTCTCTTCTTCTGATACAGAACTTGTACATATATAATCCATCATCTATAAAACCAAAAAAAAAAGGATCAGAATTCTAAAAATTAACAAGTACACTCAACGACTATCAAGTTTCGTTAACCTGATGGCTCACAACATTCCCAGGAAGTAATTGCAGTGCAGATTTTTCGAATCTCTGACCATATCTTTCACTAAAAAACTTCCGAATTGCAGCTAGCTCAGGCACATCACCGAGTCTTGCTGATGCAAAAATGAGACTTGACACTGCTTCATTGATATCATCAGGACAGTCCCTGAGAAAAACAAAACAAACATAAAAATCATTATTCATTATAGTTGTATAACATTGAATTTAGATTGAAGTGTTTGTGTTTTCTTGCTTGTTTTTTCGAATACACGGAAGGTTGATCATTATAAATTCACAGTAACTCTCCAGTAAATCATACACTGCAACCTTTCGTTCATCCAACGAAAGCTGTTCAACCTGAAAATCATACGAAAACTTCCTATCAGTTATAAACTATGTTGCTCAGACTCTTCATAAATACTTTTTGGAGAATCTGATACACGTGACATAACTTTTTTTAAAGAGTCTTGAACAAACATTAGCTATATCAACAGAGGAATACATTAAGCTAATCCAAACAAAAATGAAAAATATCAACTTTATACTAACCATAATTATATATTTTTTTTTGAAGAATTCATATTACACTTACCCTATCAATGACAATTTCGTAATGTCCATTTCTAAGTAACTCAGATAAATCATCCCTCAATTGTTTGATAATGCAACTTCTCTTGTTCTTCAATAGCTTAATCCGTCTTTGAACCCTTCTAATCAAATTCTTACTGTAATAAACAACAATTACGTCTCAATCCAAAACAAATCTATTCAATCAAAATTCTTACTACTATAGAAAAAACAGTTAGATTTCTCAGATAGTCACTCAACTTATAGTTATTATATCAGAAAGCCATTTTCTTTGTTAGAAAAAATTGGACTTTGAGTTTATAATTTTGAGTGATGATACGAAAAAATGAACGTAACGAAAAGTAAAACATAATTTGTTTACCATTTAGAAGCTTTTCTCCAACCAAAGAGTAAATTAAACATGTTTGTTGAGTTCCTCCAAGCTGACAAAATGATTAGCCTTGTGACAAATTCACACTTTTGTGATATTTATTAAAAAAAAGTGATGAATTAAAGCTTGTTATTATTGGATTAATTAAATTGGGCAATTTAATTTAGGAGAATGGGTTTAGTGGATTTGGAGAAAATCAACAACTAATTAGTGTTTAGGAACTGCTCCACTTATTTCTCTACCATTAACCCCATTTTTCTTCTAACACGATCGTTAATCTTGTTTACTTTCTTCCCACCATCATGCATTTTTTTTTATTTTTTAAATTTTAATTAATAGTACAATTTAATTTTCTATATATAAAATATAATTTTTTAAAACGAAGGATGTTCGCCGGATCACATGTTCGAGTTACGTGGCTCCACTATTCATATAACATGTTGTACTACTTTGATTATAGTGCTTATTATTTTTACCTAGCTGGTATATTTGGTTCAAATTATGTATTTATTTTTTGGAGAAAAATTAAGATAATCTATTCTTATTATTTATTAATTAAATTCATTCTTCGAAAAGAATTAAAATTCAGAAAGTTTAAATTTTGAAATCATTTGAATTATTATTATTTTTATCCGTAAATGTTTCGATCCCAAACATGGGAATGGATAATTGAGTTCCGTAAACAGCACGCACTGGTTTCTTGTTGGGAATTAAAATATAATTTTTCCGTTTTAATTTATTTATCTGATAGTAATTTGATATGAATTTAAGCAAGTAAAATATTTTTGAATATTGTGATATTATTTTAAATTTTCTTTAATTTTATAATTTTAAACATGTCTTATAAAAAAAAAAAGACATCAATAAAAAAAACAAATCCTACGAATAAATTAAAACAAAGGAAGTATTATTTTTTCTTAATATGGTATTTATTTTATTTTCTCAGTCAAACGAACAGTTCACCAAATTCTATCAATTTTGAAGAAGGAAAAAAAAATTAAAAAAATAATGGAGAAGTGAAAGAGTTGTTAACCAACTGCTAAATAACTGAAACATTTCACTAGAATATGGAAAGTGACATGGAAAAGTGGGGTCAAGTAAATTTTTATTTGTTTACTTAAAATTTAAATATCACGTATTTAGTATATATCATTAACCTTTCAAGTGTTCAAATTTAAATTTTCGTATATATTTAATGAATTTTCGACGTACATAAAATTTGAGAAAAAATTACTCAATTAAGTTTGACTTGATATGTTAAAAGCATATGTATATCCTCAGTACCATTATTATACATATGATGTTTACGATTATATATACTATAGTTTTCTTGATTACTTAAAAGTTTTTATTAATAATATGTGTTAATAAACAACGATTAAGTAATAATCGTGTCATGTAGAGTAAAGAGACGTATATTATTATTGAATATGAGTTACCACCTAATATGAGTACGAATTAATTAAATACTTTTTGTTTTCTTAAGCAGCTTGAAGTTTTGACAATTTGAAAATTAGGCTATTAGGTTATCTAATATTCGAAATTCGATAAAGTAGCTCCTGATACGAGGGATATACGAGAACGATTTATTTTGTCTTTCTTTATTACATAACGATCAATTTAGCGCAATTATGTTGTTATCTTAGTATTTTTTTATTTATTACTTAATAATCATATTTTATTTTTTATTCTATTTTTTCATTGTAGTTCTACTCTTTACTGTAAACTTTGTGTAGGTTTATCATTCAAATAAGAATGTTTGACATTATAAAATGATGGAAAAATGATACGATTTATCCAAACATTGGATATAGTCAAATAAAATAATATGATACAATACAACACAATATATGCAATACGATACATTATAAAACAATAAGTAACAACATTTCAAACAAAATGCTCTCTGAAACATCAAATCAATAGAGTGCTTTAGCTATAAAAATATGAGTATTTACGTTGATGTCGTCTGGCCCTTTATCGAACCACAAACAACTTTACACGTAGAAATTTAGTGCACTAGACTATTCTTTATACGATGATTGACAAATTTGTGGTTGGGTTAAATAACTTGAAGAAACAGAATTTTTATGTACATTCTATCATAAGTAACATTGTAAACTGCAAATAAAAAAAAAGTGTACAAAACTATGTAGACTTTCAATTAATCCTTATATACTTAATATGATATATATTTCAGAAACAGGCTTATTATACATATGAACCAATAAATACAATCGTATGTACTACGTACACACTTATTATTAATTAAAAAAAACACATAGAACGCCAGATAAGAACAGAGAAGATAGATTTTATCAGAATTTAACATCGAATGTTGGTTGACTATGTTCAACCTCAGGTTTTTTGCCAGGCTTCAAATCATGAACAGTTAATGTAACATTTGCAAACACATTAAATTGTTTTAATTTAATATCTCCCAAAATAATTTGCACAGGTACCTTAATCATTACCTTTAATGGAATTTTACCATTTTTTTCATTTTCTTGAAATGCCTCATATAGCCCTGATCCAAATGTACTTTTACCTTTTAATTCAATTTGGAATATAGTTGTATTTTTTTGACCTTGATAAAAACTAGGTAATTTCCCCGTACAAATATTCGAATCGCTATATGTCACGTTAACGGAGCTACCTTCCCCGTAAATAAACCCTATAGCTGTGTTGGGATTATCTGTTTTCATCGTTATGATAAGATCTGCATTCACACTGAAGTCGGGTTGATATCTGAAATCCTTAACATCAAGGGATTGAAAATCGTACGTAGGCATTTTAGGTTTGTAGTACATGTAGAAATAGAAGGCTATCGAGGCTAGAATAATTATGAGTAAAAATAGGACGCAATAGCAACAACAAATGCATCTAACGCAGAAATTTCCTCCTCTACGCCTTTCTGCATAGTAATATTCTCCGCCATAAGGCGGAGGCCTTCCATATTCCCCCATCGCGGAGTACCGTGGAGGAGAGGAGGAAGGAGGAAACTAAATCAAGAAAATATATAATTTTTTTTTTTGTGGTGGAACTTTTTATTTATAAATGGAGGATCACCATTTTATTTATTTATTTGGTTTTAGGAAATAGAGTGTTGTTATTTTAAGGGAGAAAGGAGAGGTAACTTTTGAGTAACGAATCCTATTTATTGATATTAAACCATTGGTTAAGGACATTGTTACATATGTATAGTCGGGGGCGAACCAAATAGTGTCTGAACCTCCTTTAATAGAGAAAAGTATATTGAATATGTAAAGTAACACTTATTTTTAACGTATATATTATAAATATCGAAGAATGTATTTATTTTTTTTTATTTTTATATTCTTTATAAGAATTCTAACTCCGCAACGTTAGTAAAGAGATTAGCAAAAATATTGCTTTATATTTGGTTCTCTTGTTTGTTTGTTTCATTGTAATGTTTATTACACCTTTATTTGTATCAATTTCTAGGCTCGTTTTGTTATTCCCATGTTGAATTAATATTCATAAATTATAAAGATATATAATACTAGTGAAAATGTAATTGAAAAAGTAAAATATTAACTTTTGCTAGCTAGTTGATTATAGCTTCCATCGTGCAAATTTATGCATTATTTCTCAAAGAACAAAATTAATAAAATAAAGAAAACGCAATACGTACATTCTTTCAAATTAATTTTTTTTAAAATGTTCTATATGTACACATGTATATTAAATGTAGTTTGTCAATTTAAACATTACAAAGTTAAAAAAAAAAAAAAAAAAAAAATAATATATATATATATATATATATATATAAAAGTAAAATTGGAGGTATAGAAATCATAACATCCAATCTTTATTTATTCATAGGTATGAAAAACATTTCTATTCTACAAATACAAAAAATCTAGAAAACTTTAGTGGGCTCTCAATTAATCCTTGTACGCTTCACGTACCAATAAATACATACACACTTACAAAAAAAATGTAAAACGTCTAAGAGTAAGAAATCAAAGAAGAGATTTTATCGATTAATCGATCACTTTACGAAACGGTAGTCGATTTTTCCTTGATCAATCTCAGTTTTCTTGCCTAGCTTCATATCATGCACAGACATTGTGACATTTGCAAGAATACTCAATTCCCTTAATTTTGAATCTTTGAAAACAAATCTAAAGGGTACCTTAGCCAATATTGTTAAAGGAACTTTTCCATGGCTTTCACTAACTTGTAATGACTCATAAAGACTTTTTGCAAATGGATTTTTACCCTTTAATTCAATTTGTAACATAGTTACATTCTTTTGACCGTGATGAAATGATGGAAATTTTCCTGAACATATTGTTGAACCACTATATGTAACATTGAAGGTGTTAGCTTCCTCGTAAATAAAACCTATGGCCTTGTTGGGATTATCAGCTCTCAACGTTATGATAAGATCTGCATTGATGTTGGAATCATTATATTCGAATTCCTTAACATCTAGGGCTTCAAATTTGTAAATTGGAGCTTTCGGATCGTAGACTGTGAAAAGATACAAAAAAATTACCGTTATGACAAGGACAATGAAAAATACGACGCAATAACAACAACAAATGCATCTAACACAAACATTTCCTCCTCTTCGCCTTTCTTGAGGATAATATTCCCCGCCCCCATAGGGATAAGGCGGGGGCCTTCCATCACCTGCCATCCCATAGGGTGGTGGACGATGCATAGAAAGACGAGAATGAGGATGAGAACGAGAACGAGGAGGAGGAAATTAAATTAGAATAATCTAGGGGATTTTTTTTTGGTGGTGGACCTATCTCCTTATGGATAGAGGACCACCACTTTTATTTTTTCCTTTTTCCTTTTTTTGGTTTTAGGAAACTAAGTATTGTTATACCAAGGGAGAAAAGGAAGGTAGTTTTGAGTAATGAATCATATTTATATGATTGCTCCATTTGTTAAGGACATTGTTACATATGTGTGGCAAAAGACTAGCAAAATATTAATGCTCCTATTTTTGTGGTTCTATGCATTGTAATGTTTACACCTTTAATTTCTAGGCTCCTTTGTTATTTTCCATGTTGAAATAATATCCATACCTCACAAAAGATAGTACTAGTGAAAAGAATGATACTATTTTTACAATAATAAGTCATGAGTAGTATATTTTCTGTTTCAATTTATGAGGCACCGTATAATTGTTTGTCACAAAGTTCAAAAAAAAAGTCTTTTTAAAATTTGTTGTCTAATATATTTGTTGACCATTTGGGTGGATATAGACCATTTCATTATAGAAAAAAAAGGGAATTTTAAGGTTGTTTCCAATTATGAAATTATGACATTTTTTTTAGAACAGACTACAAAGAAAAATATCGTATAAATCAAGGCAGAACGAGTAATATTTTTTTATAATAGTAATGATTATACCTGGAATTATGCCACTTAGATGAACAATTAGAGTGAGGATGAAATTGAAAAAAAGAAAATACAATGGAAGAGAAAGTAGGCTGAATAATACACAAAGCATCCCGTTTACGTAGGGTTTGACAAAGGGCCGCACCCCAAGGATTATATGATGTAAGTAGTGGTACAGTCAAGATTTTTAATAAAAGTGTCAAAATATATATATAAATAACCACACGTGAATACGGATTCGACTATGTAAACTATACAGACACATACATAAAAACTATATTAAACTCGTGAACTATAAATCACACGTATAGAATCATCGATACCTTATGATTCGAGTAGGAGGAACAACGTGAATTGAAGACTGGCAATTACAATCTGTTCTTAGAGTATGTGACCACATGAATGACAAAACAGAAACCATAACAGAGTTCATTTTCACAACAATTTTCTTCATCTTCGTACGTCTCGAATTTTCATCATAGGTTTCAAGTTTGTAGCTCTGCAAGAAAATATGGCGTTTTCGAGCTCGTTCCGTTTGGTAACTAAGCGAGCTCCATGTAATACCGTTGATTTGTGATTGATCTAACGGTTCATATCCATCAATCATTTTGCTAAAACGTAAAGACCTATTACTTACTAGTGCGTTCATCTCTGATTAATCCTGAAATAGGATTTATGACGTTCTTTAGCTATAAAAGTTGTCTGTCGCTAAATTATTATTTTTTTAGCTCTAGGGATGGATGGTAGATTTAAGTACAAATATATAGTACCTAAGAGCAACTACTAATCAACGAGTACTACTACAATGCCATTTTTATTACGTATGGTTTTTATATAAAAATGTGTTAGGTTTGACTAGTAATCTTGCTAATTTTTTATTTTTTTTAAGATTATTGAACAAATGGTCAATGATCTATGTAATATTAAATGACTAGTCTAAACACTAGAACAAAAATGACAATTAGCGATATTTAATTTTTAATTATCATTAAATATGTATTTCTAGCGGTAATTATCATTTTTGTATATGTCTCTAAAGCCTTTAGCAATATTGATTCTAATGACATTTAACTAATACCAATAAAAATTTTAACACTTTTTATTAATGTCATATTTAAAACCGCTAATAATTTATTTTGGAAATTTAAAAAATAATTAATAACATAGTAGTAATAAGACACATGCTCCATTAGAAAAGATGTTTGGTATTTTTGGCAATTAATTTATTAGAGGATCTTTGACATTTAGTTGGAAAAATGATTGCCGTGATGAAATGCTTCATTGAGTACAAGTTCAAAAAGTAAGTAATCTCTATCTCAATTAATATGTGATATAATTTAATTTTATAATATTATAAAATTACACTGATCAAAATAAATGAATTTTTAAATTTTTGTAAACTTTTTAATAAGTAATTGATCTTCAAATTCATTTAAGATCGTTCGTTCGTGTAGATCCAACAAAAATAAAATGTGATAGGATATAAAATATTTATATAATATATAAAAGTTTTACGATCAATATAAATTTAAATACATTTTAAAATCCAAAAAATAGCACATAATTTAAAATGGAGGGATTAATACATCCATATAGGATAATAAATTTATAAGCCTCCACGTTAATATATTAATCTAACGTCAAAACTTGACTGCTCATACAAGTATCATTCCTCTTCCTAATAAGGTAGTAAAGTTTAACATACTAAACATTATGAATATCAAATACAACACCGATTAAGAAAATGTAATAGTACAAAATATGGAAATAATATCTTTTTTCTCCATGCAACCTATAAAGGAGAAATATTGTTAATTTAATGAAAGAAATAGCTATGGGAAGATATAAAGTGTGAATTGGAGATATTTAACTTTTTTCTGCAAATTATATGTAAGCTAAAAGAATTCACATTATTGATCCCAGTTATCAATAACCAAACTGCAGGTAGCATTTTTAAGCAGTCCAATCTTTGTATATCGTTTTCATTTGCCTTTTCCAACAATAGATACTTGCTAAGATATCAAGACATTCCAGAATGGTGTAGTCAATATCGAAGAACCTAATTGTTTATAACTTCACTTTTACTAAGAAGTCTATTCAGGTGTAAACCAATGTAGTAAAATATGAACTATTTTCTATAGAAGAGGAGAAGAGGATGGTGTCAAACGCATTTACATGATCAATGCGGATGCATACGCTCATATTTTACAAAACATAGAGAAAATGAACCAGTGGTGTAAAAATCAAATACTAAGTAGTATAGTGAAGAGTTGCTTATAAACGTAGAAATTATAGGGTATAATTCTAACCTTTTCTTGAAATAAAACAAAAGCCGCCAACAATAACATTCTCCTAAATTCTAGATGTTGACTGGACCGAATTCATAGAACTTGTGCTCAAACGAAGGTGTTACTTGTTATTTCTTGCTTTTTGAGGCGCTTTCATTCATGGCTTTTTATATTTAGCAACTCCCATGCCAAACATTCTACAGGACATATTTCATATAATAATATTCATAGAACATGTTGGTATGCTATACACATCTTTAGTTTATGATTATAAGATTTAAAAATTCGTGTAAAGTCAAAACTAAGACAAATAAGTTATAATGGAGGCAACATATTTAAGAAATTTTAGAAGAGATGAGTAGAGAGAAAGTACTACCGATGCAGACACTATAATACTCATCTACAAGAGCAGGAGGTTGTACTCGTGTTGTCTGCAGAATCATAACAACCCACTGCAATCCAAGGCAAAACAATAGTCGTTAAGACTATTGTTTCAAACTTTGACATACTTCTCTATAAGATTAGAATTACTTTCACATTTTTATCCAAACGATTAGGATTATCTAAAATGTGCAGCTTTAGAGAGTCATTGAGCAATAAAACACGAATAGAAATGCATTTTATACTCATTTTTATGTAATAGTCAAAAAATCCCCCGTTAATTAGTTATTGATAAAATCCAGAATGCTGCAATATATCTTGGCTTGGTAAGTTTTTTGGGTACCTGATTGTTCTTAGTACAGTTTCCTAATGAGATTTCATTGTCATCTGCACATAAAGTAACTTAAATGTACATTATCAAACAAGATGAAAAAATCATATTGTTCCAAGAAAACAAAGGCTCTATATAATTTTTCTAATAACTAATGATTAATGCTCTTTCTTATACCATTAAGGACCTTGATTGTTACACAAGAGATCTTATGAAAGTAAATCAAATTTCCCTAAGATTCAGGTTATATGAGAAGTTTAATTTCGTCGAATTCCTTAATGAACAAAACAGATAAAGCTGAAGTGGTTTTATCTGATTCGACAGAAATATTTGCTTTCAGTATAACGTGGACTCTCACTCTAGTAGAAGTTTCCGAGTAGCTTTCTCTAGCATTTGGTAATTTATGTTGCGTGTTCGATATTATACTATCTCAAGCATACATTTCTAAGGAAAGTAGCAAGGGAGAGAAGCCTTGAAATACTAAATCAATGTTGTATAGTGCAATTCAGAATCTATCGATTGACATTCTAATACTAAAAGAAAGAGAGAGATGAAACTTTTTGCTTCTTAATAACTAAATAAATAAGGAAAACATGGATACTATAAAGCTTTTGAAGGGAAAGTAGACTCCATTACACTTCCACGCATTGGTGAGTCCAAAACTCTAAACAGAAAATATACATAAAATATACTTTCAAATATAAATTTTAAAGGTTAGAAGACTTATTCTAGATCTACCGATAGACCAGTAGGTCAATTCGAGTACAAGTAATTGAAAATTCTTAAACTCCAAGCTAAACCCATAGGAGCCTGTGAATGGAGAAAGATCAAAAGAATTCTGATAAAGAAACCCCAATTAAAATAAAGATACCCATAAAGTTAAATCCGATTAAAAAAGACCAAATTAATTGCTGCATGTGAAAAAACACAACAAATATTTGAATCTGAATAGTTTTTCGACAATCTAAAACAGAACAGGGTAAGCATAATCACCCAACCAAAATTGAAGACAAAACTATTAAAATTATTCAGAATTTTCAAAACACAAGGATAATCCAACATTAATGACAAACCTAAATGGAAAAAATAAGCAAATATTCACACACCCATACCAAATTTGGGACTTCGACTTTGATAACATAAGATGAAGACACGTACGAAACTGAGAAGAAAAAATTGATGACACGTACACATAATTGAGAACTGAATAGATTAAAATATCCTTAATAGCAATGAAGCAGGTATGTTGAAACAAGCCTCTTCTAATATATATAAAAACATATTTGATTTATTTCATCTCATTTAAATCAAGGGTGGCTCATGTTATCCCCTTGCCAATGTATTGCTGGTGGTATTAAGAAAATGTGAGTTGTTTAACATTTAATAGAAAAGCGTAATTCAAAATTATGTTGATTTAAAGTTAAAATATCATTTAGACATATAACTTGGTGTTAGTTAGTTGTTATTTTTTTTTCCAAACAAAGATAAAAGTTCCACAATTTATAAAAAAAAAAGTTTAGAATTTCTTTAATTTGTGATTACATGTTATTATAAGCTTTAAAATACATATAATTTTATAAAAGTTTACAAATCAACATTAATAGTAAATAGTTATTTCTTTAACCTATATATTCTCTCTTTCATAAAAGGTCCATATCTAACCTTTCAGATTTCGCTCGTGAAGTTACACAACTACGTTATTAGCTAATTATTTTTACTAAATACTCATAAATATTTGTTTCCTCCATTTTACGCTACAAGATATACATTATTACGATATCAAACATTGATAAGGTAATTGCTTAAGAGTTAAATCACTTATTTATTTAGGGAAAAACAAATTCATTTCTTTTTACATATTTCCTGGATTATACTCATGGAAGTTTTGATTTTAAAAAAATCTTAGTCAATTACATAAACGACTCAACCTCATTTTGACATATTAACTAATTACTCCAATAGTACTAATTTGGGGAAAACAGTTTTGTTAATTCACCTTTCCCAAGAGTGAATTAATTCCAAATGTAATTAAAGATATCTACTTATAACCAATGAAATTGAAATTTAAATGTAATTAAAGATAACTACATATAACCTATGAAATTGAAATTTGAGTGAGAGTTAAAAAATAAGGTAACTTTTTGCAAAATAGCTACTACAATAAATTTAATTAAGCTCTATAATTACAGTTTGCATATTTACGATATGTAACTACAGTTTAAGTTGCTCTATTTGTATAATTCGTAAATTTGTATAATTTGCAGGTATATTTGTATAATCTAGTTATTTTTATATAAATTTGAGATAACTATCTCGATTTATACAATTACAAACATTAGAAATGTGTACAGTCATACAAATTATATTATATAAATTACGAACTATTCAAAAGCTTATAAATTATATAATACAATTTACGAATTATACAAACATGCGAATTCTACAAATCTAAAAAGCTGAGCAGCGTAATTATAGCTAAAAGTTGCTTGTGAATTGTAATTAAAGCACACTACAACTATTTGACTAATTAGCAAATATATGTTTGCTTATACGCATAATTTGCCAAAATATTTAATTGTATAGCAAGTAACCAACGAAGGTCACATC